ATCCAGATGAACCACTTCATCCAGATGAATCACTTCATCCAGATGAATCACTTCATCCAGATGAATCACTTCATCCTGTCTGATGACTCAGTGTTTGGAGGAGGGCTGTATTGTTCAACCAACACAAATTATTGCCTCCAAAACGTTCCTTTATACCTTTTTATATTTTTTTACTGAGCGGTCAGGGGCCTGTTTTATTCTTACAGACAAATGCACTGAGATAATAAAACCACCAAGTGTAAATGTACTGAACATGTAGTGTAACTAGCAGTATTACACATCAGAAGCAAATGACTGACTACACAGAAGGAGGCACAGCTCAGCTGCAAACTGCGCTTAGGTGTAGGGAAACATTGTTCCTCTTTTGTACATATAATTGTAAATATATCACAGCAATAATATCACAATGCATGTAGACATTTAAATGCTCTTTTCTATTCAAGTCTTTTTTTCTATTTAAAAAGACACATACAGGTACAAACTGCAGTCTGGTGTGAATCAGGGAGTGTCTTCATAAGAAGCTATTTGTTCCAAGCTCCAAAACTTCCAACTCTGTGTGTTCTCAAAGATCTGATCCTGTTTTAGTCTTTTTTTTCTTTTCTTTGTATTTATGTGCCCAGCTTGGCTGCGCAATGAAAAAGTGCCAAAAAGTCTGATTTCCATGACAAAAGCCTTCAACATATGGTTGGCTGCTCGAAACCATCCATATGGTCCTCAAAGAAAAAAAAAAAAACTGATTAAGATTTTTCCACTTTCTTCCTCTTTCTGTCTCTTTGTGTTCCAGCTGAGTATGAAGAAACTTAAGCCATGATTGCTGAGGGGTGTTTGATTCTTCTTGTTCTGCTACAATTATTATTGATGGCAACAATAGCAATGATAAGAATAATAAAATAATAGCACAAGGAACCAGCACGTCCACTCGTATTTCTTTTGACACGATCTCCCATTCTGATCTTCTTGTGTTTTGTTCCATGTCATCCCAGGAAATAAAAACGTGCACATGTATCCTGCAGACGTTCACACTCAGAGAATGGTGAGTCTGTTTGGAGCAGCCTTCAGTCAACATTAACTCAGTGCATAATTATACTTAGACAATAATGTGCCATCAGCTGCAGCTTCCTCTGCCAATGTTTGAGGGATTGCACGAGCTTTACTGTCAACTTCCTAAGTTTTAATTTCACCGCTCTGAGGGAGAAACATGCCGACATCTTCAGCAGCTAAAGGGGTAACCGTGACAGGACCTGACAACACCAATATAACTTGGAAAAGGACTTCTTGAGACGTGGGCAATCTCTAAAGCAGAGGCATCTGTTCCACCACTATTAAGGCCTTCCTGGCCATTAAATTTTAATGGAACATTGATTTTATGCTGGAACGACCCTTCCTGAGTGACTCAAAACCCGGAGAAAAATATGGAGCAAAATAAAAATGAATCATGACGGTGGATAGGGATTATTATTCTGGGCCTTTTCTTGATTGGTTTCCAGGGAATGTACAACGCTTGAATTCAATGGCTTGTGTCCTTCAGTGTCCTCTAGCAGTGGTATAATGAGACAGCCGGCAGAGCGGAGCAGGGACACACTGCTGCAAACACTTTCCTTCAACGCGGGCGCGCAGCGGTTGGCTTTACTGTCGCTTCTGCACCGCTACTACGCTCATGTTGAACGAAATAACTTGTAGGTTGTGAAAGATTCACAGCCAAGTGTTGCTGTGAGCAACAGCTCGCAGCGCTGCAGAGGAGGCTGAGCACCATCAACATTCACATGCAGTACTCCAACTTCACCCCAACAGA